ACTCTCTAAATGGAAACTCTTCCAGCTTTCCACTTTGTATGAAGATGGGGAACATGAGTTTCTCTTTGTAAAGGTAGAGTGTCCATTCCAACAATGGCTTACAAAGGAAGGCCCCATAAGAATATAAACTGGACCAAACTCTCAACTGTACCAGTGGAAAGAGTTGGAGACAAATTAGTCTTGGGCTCCATCAGTATCGAAGGATCCTGTGTAATTCCCAGGAGATGCAGAACCTGGCCAAGGTATATTTAAGTCCTCTGTGTACAGAAGCCGTCTATGTTTTGAGAAAGCCTCCAGGGAACTAGCTTTTGTACTCTTCTCATGGAAATGAAAAATGCCAGTGTGTTTAATGAAAGAGGGGTTCCTTGGAAACTAGAAGATCCACAGGCATGTTAAGAGGTACCACACCCACCAACCTAAGGTTGGTCTATGAGTGCTGGGACAGAGGCTATCACTGGTTTCTCTAGGAAGTCTCCCAAGCCTGTTATCTGGGCCTGGTTCTCTGCTAGGCAGTGCTGGGAAATCAAAAAGATGCCTTATACTCAGTGTCTTATGGTCCTTGGAAACTAGGTGTAACTGCTACTTAATGCTCTCATCATTTGAAAAGGCCAGGCATGGTGGCTCATACCTGTAATCTCAGCATTGCTGAGGTGGGAGGATGCCTTGAGCTCAGGAGTTTGAGACTAGCCTGAACAAGAGTGACACCCCATCTCTACAAAAAAAACAGAAAAATTAGCGAGACATGGTGGTGGGTGCCTTTAGTCCAGCTACTTCAAAGACTGAGACAGGAGGATCATTTGAACCCAGGAGTTTGACTTTGCTGTGAGCTAGGCTGACAGCAGAGTATACTCCAGCCTCGGCAACAGAGTGAGACTGTATCCAAAAAAAGGCAGGAAAGATGTGGTTCATTTCCAGAAACTTTCTGTTGGCCAATTAGTCCTAGCTATTGGGTTCAAAGAATATTTCTGCTCTTTCTATCCTATTACCTTCCTGTTGAGAACTGACCTCAGAAGAGCAAAAGACAGCCCCTCCTCTCAGCTCCCCCCTCCTTTTCCTTCCCCACAGCAACATGGTTGGCTTCCTCTCACAACCAGCTAAAGCGATAACTCTGTCATTGCAATCCATCCTTTGTCACCTCCTTGGAATTGGAAGAGATTTGTAAAAAACAGCCCAGTGTGAGCTCCAAGACAAACACATTTCTTTCTTGCTAATTATGACTTAGTGTAATGTATAGACAGAATCACTGGGAGAGTCACCTTCTTTTCTCCTGTGTCCTATTAAGGGCTTCCTTCTACTGCTAGTTTTGCCTGGCATGGACCGGCATCCCATTTAGGAAGGTATACATGTAGAAATTAAAGAAATAGGTAAGATATTGCACGCACTGAAACAACCCTTGATAATACTTTATGGTTTATCAAGTGTATGCATTTTCTTATATGGTTCCTATGCTATGAGAGGGAGTTTCAGTAGGCTTGGTATTAGCCAAAGGTGTCTTGCTAAAGTTCCGACATGAAACACGCTGGTTGGCAGTGTTGTTTTATAACCATGGCCTAAGAAGTTTCTGAATTGTTTGTACCAGCTTGTAAGCATTTTGTATTGATCACAGTGAGACTGATGATTTGCACCTGGTCTCCATTGCCCCTCAGTGGCCCTAGTGGCCCTTGCCATTGAGCCTGGTTACGTAGCGAGAATGTGCCTATTGCAAAAAAGAGAAAGAAGAAAAAAAATTTCCAGCAGAGATCACAAGATATTTGTGCATACATTGGTGGTTCCTGATCCTGCCTGCATACATTGGTGGTTCCTGATCCTGCCTGCATACATTGGTGGTTCTTGATCCTGCCTGCATACATTGGTGGTTCCCGATCTGCCGTTCTTTAGAGAAAACAGGAGAACAGGGCTTGCACCTGTCTGCAGTGCTCTTGCTATGAGGCAGCCTTCAACTGTGACACATATCCTTTAACTTGTTTCTGTATTATATCTTTTTCTATAATACAACTGTAGATTTATAATCCTTGACATTTAGGTCCTATGAGTCTTCTTTGGCAATGGAACTCCATTTACCAGCCACTGTTAGTGCAGCACTACAGTCCTCAGAGATGGAGTTGGCAGGGATCCCCATAGAAGCTAAGGGACCTGCCCAAGGTTAGGGTTAGTAACGGCGAAGCTACAGCTGGAAGCAAGGGCTCTAATGTCAAATGCCTTGCTCTTTTTACAACACTCTGATTCCTTTCTCTACTGTTTGGATGAGGTGCCAGAGAGAATGAAGAGGTGTTGAGTGATGTTTCAGGTGGATCCTGTTTATGTACTGAAAGCAGCACTATACGGTGGAGCAGATGGCCTCACCCCACAATCTCTACCACATCACCCCATTCAGAGTCAGAGGCCCAACGTGGCCAGCTTCCTCCCTGGGATTTTGAAGAGAAAGGCCCCATCGATTATACGACTGGAAAGGCAGTGATTCAAAGGAAATAAGTGAGCACATCATGCATCCAAGTGGGCTTGGTGACTGATAATAAATCTTTTGCTTGCTTGTTCTTTTTCAAAGTGTATGCTCCAAGCAATTCTAATTTAATTCTTAATTAAGATGCATGTGTAAGTCAAATTTGATTAAAGCCTCCTTCTTGTTCTCTAGCACTCAGACCACCAAAGAAAGCCTGGAAGACCAGCCTTGGAAGGAAATCACA